ACACAAACTGGGTGATAGAGATCATTCACTTTCCGATAATATATATATTTATATATATATATATATATATATATACCTTGAGACGTGGTCATTGTAGTTTAGACCAGTTAGGTGAAAAATAAAGCTTTGTTGGGTACTTCGACAAAATTCAAGCAAAGAGGACACTTTATACTTTATTAATCTCTAGCTTTCAATGGACTTTGCCATCTTCATCAGGAGCTGCAATAACCTTGAGAAGAAATAGCAACTATTGTGCAAAATGATTTTAAATTAACTTGCAGTCGTATGTGAGATTGTTGCTAAATTTTATTAACGTATAGGTTCAGGGAAACAACCAGTAACATGGTGAATGCTGGATACATGGTACATTGCTTGAATTTTGTCGAAGTACCCAACAAAAGGCGGAAGCTTTATATATATATATATATATATATATAAATGAATCCCTATTTGTCATTTGGCATGGTCACGCCATAACTTGAGAATGACTTTAACGATTCCATTCATCTTTTTTTTTCAAAGTTTCCTAATGATGTATAGAAGGTTCTTACGGGAAAAAAATCAAGAAAATTGCGCAAAAAATTGGGAAATCATTGAAAACCTAAAGATTATTCAAGCTACGCGCATTTGACAGTTTGCTTGCGCAGCAGAAGAAATATCTCAAGTACCAAAAGAGACAGGCACACAACAAATCGTTGCTTTTGGACCAGTGAACGTTGTGAGTCCACACTGCAAGGCTTTCAATTTTAAAAATAAAGCCCCTGGATCATATTGCGTCAGTGGAAAGATCAAATTGACTCCATTGATACCACCACCAGAGTCACTACATTGTTTTCTAGAAATGGGCCAGATTCTATTCATTTTTTGACTCTTATCCAGCAATACAATAATTGCTTTCAAGTGACGTCATTTGGCGCAACAAAATTCACTCCACATAATTTTATGCCTACTTCCGAAGTATGTTGATGAGGGAATGGCAGTGCTGCCAACGTATTTTGCTAGCCAAATGGCGTTTCAAACACTTCGCTATACAATTACTCATATTCTATATATTTACCCTTTTATTATTCATTTCAGTACATAAGACGTCTGCCGGGTCAGCTAGTACTCCAATGAATTTAACACAGACTGTTTAAATCTTCAGGCATTGCAATTTGAAAACCTAAGATCAACAGAAAGAAGAAGAATTTGAGGTCAGTTTGTGCCTAACCTGTCATTTCAAGATCACTTCGAGGCCGTTTCAAGGTGAAATTGAGTACATGCCCGGATATCAGACCTGTACGTGGGTTTTTGAGAGTCAGAGTTAGACTACAATTTGTTCATATCAGGACATTTGAAAAAGTCTAGAAGTCATATTTTGGTCAAAATGAGAAACCGCCGGAAAATCAGCTCCACTACACCTATTCTTAGGTTTTTGGTGTCGCCGACTCTAAATCTGAGGTGGATTTGTCCGTATCATGTCATTTTAAGGGCGTAGTAGAGCCATCTTAAGGTCATTCCGTTAAGTAAGTGTCATCGATCAGTTGGACAGAAAGATCCTATGGATCGTATAGCGAAACAGGTACCTGTAGAACAATTTACGGGCTCGATGTTTTTGCTGTGTGGAATAATTTCTCCTCCCTTAGAGCAGCCGACTGTTCCATTAAGTGTTTTTCGCAGATTTTATAGTCGAATTTACGTGAGGCGGCGATGTTTCAGTGCAGTCTACGTTCGTAATTAGCAATTACGGTGAGCTCGATTCAAATAAAGAAACGACCTTGCTATTTTTGCCCTGTTTATGTCTATATTGGCGCCTGGGGTTCAGACTATGCGGCGATGCTCCATGCGTAGCTAACAGCTATATCTTTATGTATTTGATATTCAACATAAAGTGATCATTAGCCTCTGTAACTCCGTCAATCACATGTAATGAATGATATAGGTGCATTCTCTAGCATCGAAGGATGATCCACAAAATACCATTCTAAATTGTAGAATTTCAAGAAAATATTATGCTAGATGTGGACGTATAATTCAATGTAAGTATTTAAGGCGGGATCAATTTTAAGAAGAAAACATCATATGAGCGTATGTCCAAAACGTCTATCTTTTGAGATACAGGGTGGTGAAGTTTCCAAAAATAAATCAGTGGCACGCCTACTGACTTTTCTTAAAATAAAATACCATCATGGTAACACTCCACCTATTCAATTCTCGAGTCTCGAAATTTTAGTGACTTATCTACGCGTACTGTTGGGTGTTGATATATAATCTAAAAGAATTGAATAAAGGAAATTCATTATTATTATTATGACCAGACTTGGTTTCTAGAATTACACGGTTTTGGTTTAAAAAATAAAATCTATTTCTTTGCATGGTGATATTTTGATATTTCATAATAACGATATTGTTATGATCATAACGAGAAGCGATTTTTCAAGCGAAAATCGTGCTACGGATTGAAAATAGTCATGCAATCAGATTTGCGTGGAAATAGTTGGAGATTTTAAGAATAATTTTTATTTTAAGATAAATTATGTCGTACCATCAATGCCTGCCAAAACAATCAGGTGAAATGTCGTGCGAACAACACTTGTGCAAATTTAAAAAAAATATTGTAAAAACTGCTTCTTAATGCATGTATATCAAATTTCATTTAAATATCTAAAGTGGCCATTACAGATATCAATAATAAATGATTTATTTTAGAATACCTAACCACCGTGCATCTCAAAAGTTAAGTCCTTTAGGATAGAAGTTCATATGAGACTTTCTTTTTAATGGATCCAACAATTGCATTTATTTAGGAAACACCCTGTATTGTATCTAGGGTTCACATGAAACATCGGTTCCAAATGGTCAAAGTTTAATTGGTTTAGATAAGTAGATATTCGGAACACACAGTAAGAGTTTACTCGGTTGGAATGCAATCAAACTCCAAGACTGTTAATATCAAAAGATTATTAAGTAGACAGGTCGTCGTAGCTCGAGTATAAAACATAGTGAAGCGACCTTACTATTTTTTACCCTATTCATGTCTAAATTGGCGCCTGAGGGCCAGACTACACCTTGATCTTGTTGCGTAGCTAACAGCGATATCTTTGTGTATGTTTTCGCATTCAGCTTAACTTTATCATTAGATGCTATAGTATCATTAATGATAGGTCGTAATGAATGACATAGGTGTTGTATGCATCTTCTAGGATGCAATGGTTTTTCTTCTCGGGTGCATAGGCGACAACAGTACAAGGCCTCTTCGGAAACTACATTTTGATTCAATCAATCAACGACCTGCTGTCCTGCGTGATCAATCGCATCCTCTACACGAATGCATTCACTGCGACAAGCCGATGTCTGCTGATGAGCTAGATAGAAGGAGGCTAGTAGCTACTTCCTATCTGACGAGAGACCTGGAAGTTATCACTGTTGATACAGCTTAATGCCTCCAAAATGCAGTACCTTGACTAACAACAAGCGCCCCTGGCGCTAATTTATTTTTTATAGACGGTCATTTCGCCTGGTGGGAGTCCAGATCACCGAGGCATGAACACAATAGCTGCCGGTAAAAACCTAGGTTATTTCTTTAGGGTTGAGAAGTACTGCTGAGTACTGCTTACATGCTTATTGTCGACTACATTGTCCTTATTCGGTGCTGTTCAATTAATCAGTAACACGTCTCTAACGGAGAGTGTCGGGATCATTTCGTACCGGCTGACGGTCGGCAATCTTGATTTCTTCTACCGCTAGCTTTGCTCCTCAGAACCCTCCTCCGTGATGTCGCCGAGCATTGAGCCTGCCAGATAGACAAGACAGGCTTCTGCCCCCCATCTCAACTCTATCGAACTTCGTAGATCGAGAACTAGATGGTACGAGCGCTCCTTCGTTCCTAGGATATCGCAATTATGGAACAATCTACCTGAGGAGGCTTTTAAAAGTTCTGCTAACCGAAGGCAGTTCAAAAATCGGATGAACAAAGCGCTTCTGAGTTGCTCATAGCATTCTGTAGCTATCAAAGCCTTTAGGTGCACGTTGATTTAGGTGAAGGGGAAGTGAAAAGAAGGTAAGTTACCTTACTTTATTTGTACAATTTTATTTATACCTGTTTTGTTTTGTTTATTTAGTTTCATCTCTGTCTAGTTTTTAATCTAAAATTATCAGTACCCCTTGTATTTGTATTTGTATTCGCAGTACTATTTTTAAATTAGGGTTTGTAGATTTATTTTCGATTCTTTTTGTTTTGTGAAGTATTACACTTTTTTGCATATAAAAGCAAAATCATTTTTTTCTTTTTCTATTATTTTAATAAGGCAAATGTGTACTTAGGTATATGTAGTTCTTATGCTAAATAGATGCTTTATTAAACTCTTAGCTTTAGACCAGAGTTCCCCAAACTTTTTTGTGTCGTAGACCCCTTGCCATGTTTTTCCGTGTTGGGTAGACCCCCTACTTACCTGATATTGATTTCCTGTAAATTTCTAACTGCAGTGAAGTTTAGCGTTAAAAACTTAAAGTAAAAACACATGTTAATTTATACATTTATTATTGAATTTAAATTAAAACTACTTAAAATAAAATTTTGTATCTGTTATGTAACATTAAATAAACAGGTGTCTGACCAATAAGTGCCCGCATTAGGAATAAGTGCCCGCATTGAAAAAAAATAAGAGGAATAAAATAAAAAAAAGCTAAAAATAATAAAAAAAAGATTTTTACTTAAAATAGTACAATAACCGAGTTCGTTTATTAATTATAACATAAACGTATGTTCTACAATAATTTCACTGTTAGTTTGATTAAATTCCGCTTCTTATACGTTTAAGTTATCTAAAAATAGGCAAAAAATTAACGAATTTTAGTGTGTACCTATCCTTGAATTTTCAGAATAATTAAAAAAAAATATTTTCTATAAAGGGTTGTTCTTTAAAAAAATCAATGCGGGCACTTACTCCCAATGCGGGCATTTATTGGTCAGACACCAATAAACATAAAATAAACTATAAATAAAATAACATAAGCAATAAGTCAATATTTTTAGTGAGAAGGATGAACCTGATGCTTTAATAATAAATTATTAACATTTGGCGTCAATTTTGTAAGGGTTAATCTTAAATTTCCTCTGCTAATGATGTCCAGTCTGTTACTTTTTTTCGTTAGGAGATTGGTAACAGCGCTGAACCCCCTTTCCACTAGGTATGACGCTGGAAAGGAAATTAAAAATTTCCTCGCTATATTCCATAATACGGGATAAGTAACGGGCATGTTGTTTTGCAGCCAGAAATGCTGATATCCGTTTTTAAACTGAACCTTAAGTTCTTCGTTTGTACTTAGTTCAGTCAGTTCCTCTTGTATTATGACATTCGTTTCTTCTATGTCACCATATGGATTGATTATCCACGGTGGTATTACCATAGTCAAAATATCCTCAAACCATTTAAATGTTGAGCGTAAGTTGAAACGTCGTCTTCCTGGCAGCTTGTCTGTGACAAATTGGGGAACTGAGAAAATTCGCCCCGTGCAATATTTTGCTTCATTAGTTTAACTCTGGCAAGACACGCTGATAAGATGGACTTTGTTTTAATCAAATTTTGTAAACAAATCTGTTAAAATAGGCGATGTCTGTTTTCCTCTTCATTAAATTTTCTTTTAAAATATTATCTTTATTATCCAGAAATTCTAAAATAGTGCAAAAAATCTTGTCAAACATAAGCCTTTCGACAGCCAGCGTACTTCAGTGTGAAGGAGTAATTGATGAAAGTGTTCGTCATTTTCTTCACACAACTGCGCAAATAACCGCGTATTCAACGCGTTGCTTCGGATTCGTTTTACTGCATCAATGACTAAATGAAGTGATTCATGCAATCTAACACTCAAATTTTTAGCAACTAGATGTTGTCGATGGATGATGCAATGTATTGCTAACACCCCTGACACATTTTGTTTTAAATAGCTTATAAATCCACGATAACGTCCAACCATGGCAGGTGCTCCATCTGTAGCTACTGATATTATATTTGATAAAGGAATTGCTTTTTCAATGAAGTAATCCTTCAAAACATGAAATATTGATTCACCTTTAGTGTCGGTTATCAAAGTTCTTGCGAAGAGCAGTTCTTCGTAGATTTCTTGATTCATAATAAAACGAACATATGCCAATAATAATGCTGCATTATCAGGTAAAGTTGACTCGTCCAGTTGTATAGAGAAATGGGTAGTTTGCAAATAATTACAAAACAAGCTTTCAATATCAGAACTCATTTTATCAATACGTCTTTCAACAGTATTGTTGCTTAAGGGAATTCTTTTAATGATATCAGATGCAGGTTTGTGTAAAACAGTTTTTAAAACCTCTTCAACGGCTGGCAAAATTAACTTCTCTCCGATAGTATGCGGTTTTCCGGATTTTGCTATAAGTAACGAGATATTGTAAGACGCCCGCAAACCATCACCATTTCTTTGTGACGTCGAAGCGAACATTCTGTCCAGTGTAGGTCTCTTCTGAAATTTATCTTTGAGTGTTTGAAAGTATTTCAAATCTTTCCCTGTTTTATTAGGGTGGCATCTTCTCAGATGATCTTGCAGTTTAGATGGTTTCATAGCGTCATTGCCCAAAACTTTGTTGCATAAAAGGCACATAGGCGATTGTTTGTCCGGCAATGATGGAATGAAGCCAAATTTCAAATAATCAACACTGTACTGTCTACATTTCTTTTTAGATTCGGACATGGCATCAGTCATCTGTGGGAAAAATTAAATTATTTAAATGAGACAGAAAATCCAGCAGCTGTATATTAAAAATATTTTTTAATTTTTCCGAAAACATTCCATAATTTAAACATCTTCTTGCAACAATTAGCTCGAATTACGGAGATTGCACTGTAATGTATTGAGGAGTACTCGTGTAATTTTGCATGATTGAATATTTAACTACTAATAACTAAAGTCATGATTGGCTTAATTTATCTATCTTTGCTAACTACGAGTACAAAACTAAAATTTAATAAAAAATAATGTACTTACTTTTCTCCAGCACTCTCAAACAAAATAACACTGACTCACTATAATTTGTGTGATATACTATCTGTTTATATTTTTTAAAATATTTTCTTAGCAAGATTCAGGTAACGAATGAACGTATTTGTCCCACATTCGTATTTATAGAGTGACGAATTGAACAAGTCAGTGCAAGGTAGCGAAGCTCTGAGACTGCGACTGTCAGGTTTTTACAAGTTCAAAATGTATTGCGACCACAAATCGAATACCAACATCCTACAACTTACACAATTTTATAAACATATATAATAAATTTGTTACTTCATAGGTACTTTTATCAATAATGTATATGTTTTGATATTATAAGATAGTATGATGTAAGTAAATAGATACTATCAGTGTATGTGTTGAGATCCACTATCGTGGACCCCCATATTCATTTCATGGATCCCCAAATTTTTTTCGCTGACGTAGACCCCTTGCAGGTTGTCATAGACCCCTAGGGGTCGATATAGACCACTTTGGGAATCAATGCTTTAGACAGTTCTAAAAAGTGAACCTATTTTGTTGTAGAAATAAATATAAATAAATAAGATTTTTCGGTCAATTGCTGCATACAGGGTAGCTCAAAAAAGTTATGATAAGTTATTTACCGAAATAGTGCTGTAAGTGGCACCCTCTAGAAGTTTGGCCATAAAAAATATGGGATTCTTGTTTCTGATACTATAAAATCACCCTATACCGAGTTTTATGCCGAAATCTAAAATTCTACTTAAACTACGCAAACTATCAACTTTGGACTGAGGTATGCTTAGGTCAATTCATATATTTTGTAGTATCTCCACTTTCGAGATTTCCCAACCTTTGTATAGTATATATGTAATATATGAGTACGTATTGAGAACTATTATAGTTATTTATCAAACATTGTTGACAAGCAGTTTTACACCGCAGCTCTAAAGCAATGAGGATTTTTTTCATGAAAATCCCAAATAGTGCATCAAAAGATACGTTTTTTGGATGCCATTGCACTTCATAGAGAAGTTGCTTTGAAGGCGATGGAAGTATAGAGTCAATCTACTTGACGCCATTTTTATAAGGTACAAATAACAATGTCCCTTACGCGACCGTGGTGGGCAAAACGTCAGTAAAAAGTCATTCAAACATACTGAGTTTCATTTAGAAGCCAATTACAGTCCTGGTGTTAACGAACTTGCGGCATGCACGAGGAGTCCCAGTGACCGGAAATCTATCCACTGTCTTTTTCTCAGACGTCAAAGACACCGCTGCGCCAGCCGCATTCAACGTCCGAGACCTTTTCGGCCAAAGGTGACTAATAACAGGTTCAGTTTCATAGACGGCGACCAGAAATGTGGGCCATTTTGACTATGCTTCATTATTGTTACGACGGATATACAGTTCTAAGGTACGGCACAATAACCCAGTAAAGGAGGATGGGATAATGGTCTGTTGACTCTCATGATACTGGACCAATCTATAATGAATGCAAAGCAATGGAACTAGTCGAAGACTCCAGGGCTGCTAGGTATAGCTTATATGTCAGAAATACACGTTGTTAGTCTCATGCCTGATTTATCGAAAGCTTTTGACAACCTGAGTAAGGATATAATTCTAGGTAAGCTACAGTAACACGCAAAATTAACCATACATACAAAAGTTTAAATTAAATTTAAAATAACCTTTTAACCCTTAAATCAATTTCGTTAATGTTTTCGTTAAGTCGTGGGTAATTTCATAAGTTAAAAAGTTATTTCAAATTTAATTTGAACAACATTTTGTTTGTCCGGTTAATTTTGCGGAGCTTAGAGTCTAATTTTAAACTGAATCCAATCATACTTATCGAATGGAAGTATTTTTGTAATAATTCATAAATTAATGTCCGATAGATTCCCAGCTTACCTCAGTGCACCGCAAAGATCAGTGGTGGGACCGATGTTATTTATATGTTTCATAAATGACCTTCCAAATTTCATTTCGAGGGGTAAAGTCACAATGTTTTACGATTATATTACAACCACGGTTTTTGTCAGTTCTCTTGAAAAACTTTATAACAACATCTTGATAGTTTTTGAAGAGATGGAGGTTTGATGTAAAAGCAATAAATTGAAATTAAATAAAAGCTTCTGCAACCAACTTTGACATTAAAAAAATATTCCTTCAGTTACCACAACAGCTTCAAATAATCAAGTTGGATTGCAGTTGGTAGACAGTGTTAAGCTCCTTGGTAGCTGGTTTCATGCAGATTTGACTTTTGAATCTCATACAAACAATATTTGCTTCAATGTAAACAAATGCTTCTTTGCATTATTTCATATGAAACAATATTTAGATGAAAAATCTCTATTATTTCTTACTTACTATGCATTTATATATATATAAATATAACAAAAGGTAGGAAAATAATGGGCAAAATCCGCAAAAAGGATGAATACCTACCTTTTGTCATATACCTTTCTCCCCATGATCATTTTCTCTTTATATATATATATATCCAACTTCGAGATGCAAAGGGAAGAGCATGCAATGCAAGCATGATCAAGTTAAAATCAAATCCTTTTAGGGCTCTAGCTTAGACTAGGGCACCTCAGTATAATTTTGTAGCAATTTGTAATGCTATATCTACAGATTTGAGGGGTATTCATTTCAACTGTAGTTTTAAAATAATGGGTTTTAATTAGATAATTAACTAACTACTCGTAACTAACTGATAAATGTTTTCATTCCATTAACGCATTTTTAAATTGTGGGTGTTGATATCGTTAAGAATGGGTTTTTAATACTTTTTTTCACATGATTCTTAATTTTGTTAATTATTTTAATGTGTTATGTACATACAATTTCAAATTTCAATTCACTATTGCTTATTTTATGAATGTATCTTCAATCGTTTTTGTGACTTGCCAGATTTCCTCTATGCACCCTCGTTTCAAATAGTTAACCTCCTGACGAAAAACCGTCACCTGGGTAACTTGGGCGCTTAGACTCTGAAGTGTATTTGACACTGGGACTCAATGAATTCTTCAGATAGCTATGTCCGTATTCCGCCAACTGGATAGAATCAAACAAAGTATATACAAATAATTGACAATGGCAATATACTTTATGCTTATCTATCTTCCAGGTAACAGTTCATTTGTTTTTCTCTTTTCTTCATTAGTATATAATGCGTTATCATTACAACTTTAAGACAACAGCGCACAAAACCAGCAGATAGCAAGGCCTGATTCTGAATACATTTCTACAGTTGAAATT